GTCTGTTTGTTTGCTATTGAATTCATTGAGGAGGCATAGGTCGATAAAGTTAAACAGATGTCAGGTGTACAATTCTGTAACACACCATATTGTACTGTGCATTCACCCAGTCAGGTTCCCTCCATCATATGTGTTCCCCTTTCCCCACCCCCTCCACTCCTTTCCTTCAGGTCTTCACCAGACTGTGTCTGTGTCTAGGCGTTCTGCTTCCTGTCTAACCCATCACCTTTCTCACCAGCCCCCTTTCCCGGTGGGCTCCAGACTCCAGGATCACTCAGGACGGATCTCCGTTCCGTGAGCACGTTCTGTTTTGAGATGTGCCGTTCCCCCTCCTCTCCCGGGAAATCCTCGGTCTTACAGGCTCTCCTTGATCACCTCCATTGGAGGCCTCGCTGGCCACCCTCCCTCTCGCCGTCCCTCCCGTGTGTGTATGCAGGGCGGGCCACGCACTGTACGGGAGGACGCTTTCCTGTCCAACTGTAATTATTGCCATTGGTCTCTCTCACTTTGAATTCCCAGCGGACAGAAGTTAAGTCTCATTTAACTTTGCATCTACCGCAGTGTCTCCTCTGGCCAGGCATGCAGTAGGTTTTCATTTATTCAGCATGTATTTATTGAGTGCTTCCCAGGCCAGGCCATGCGGACTCTTCCAGAAAAGAGTAGCAGGGCCATGTAAACTGCCTCTTCTAGGGGCTGACATGCTGAGGGTGAAAGGAGATAGTCAATGACCAAGGTAATAAAATCACACACACACACACACACACACACACACACACACACACACACAGTGCTTCCTGAAGGACTGCCTGCCTGTGTAACACACACACACACACACACACACACACACACACACACACAGTGCTTCCTGAAGGACTGCCTGCCTGTGTAACACACACACACAGTGCTTACTGAAGGACTGCCTGCCTGTGTAACACACACACACACACACACACACACACACACACTGCTTCCTGAAGGACTGCCTGCCTGTGTAACACACACACGTGCGCGCACACACACACACACACACACACAGTGCTTCCTGAAGGACTGCCTGCCTGTGTAACACACACACACACGCGCGCTCGCGCGCACACACACACACACACACACACACACACACAGTGCTTCCTGAAGGACTGCCTGGGTAGCGCACACACAGGTCTGAGTCTGGCAGAGGTTCCGGACCCTCCTCGCATGCTGCTCTGCTGAGGAGAGGCGCCCGTTTGCATGTGTCCGGTCTCTGCCGAGTGTGCCTGACGTGGATCGCACTTCTCTTATCGATCAGATCATAGAGAGACGACACGGCAGGGCCCTTCCGGATGCCATTTCTGTGCTGAATGATGAGCTAGCTCTTTCTGGGGCTCTGGCAGGGCGCCGACTCTGTTTTCAGCGCTTCCGGTGGCTTATGTCACTTACTCCTCGGAACCCTCAGGAGACAGGCTCCATCCCCGTGGGCACCCCGCCGACGGGCACAGCTCTGCCCCTGATCCCAGCCTCCCAGGCAGAAGGGTCCCCTGCACACTGCCTCCTGAGACCTGCTCTCAGTGCTCTCTCTGCCCCGGGGTGGGGGTGCCATCAGAGCAAGCACAGCCTTTCCTCCGCCAGCATGTCATTCCAGCCAGGCCCTCCCTGGCGAGCAGGTGCCCAGCCCGGCTGAGAGCCCGGGGCTTCCCGGCGGGACACGGGCTCCCGGCAGGTGGCCACGGTGCTTTGCGTTCGGTCTGGCTTTCTGTTGGGACCTCAGAGTTTTGCTTGTTTGTTTTGGTTTTTAATATGATTTTATTGACTTGAGAGAGAGAGGTAGGTAGTGGCAGGGAGAGAACCATTGATTTGAGAGAGATATCAATTGGCTGCCTCCTGCATGCCCCCTACTGGGGATCAAGCCCATAACCCGGACATGTGCCCAGACCGGGAATCAAACAGGTGGCCTCTCGGTGCACAGGATGACGCTCAGCCAACTAACCACCCTGGCCAGGGTGGGACCTTAACGTCTTTAACGCCTGTGTTAGTCTTTCCAAACGCTGGCTGCAGAGCACTTTTCCGGGGAAGGAAGGGAGCGAGGCTCGTGCTGCCGCCTGGGAGGCCGTGGAAGGGGTGTGCGGCTCTTCTTCTCCGGCCTTTTCTGATGTGCGGAGCCCGCCACGGCTGGTTCCCGCTGGTTCTCTGCGCGGTGCCTCGCCTCCCGTGACGGGGAAGAGGAAGCCCGGGTCGGAGGGATCAGGCCGCTTGCACTAGTGCACACGGCGGGATTTGAACCCAGCACAGGCTGCCCCTGGTGTAACTCTGCGGTGCTTTCTCACAAGCCCTCCTCACGACCCTTTCTTCAGAGAACCCGTACTTGGACCTCAGAAAGTTAGGCGTCAACATGGGCCTGGAGCCCGGCTGCTGTGTTCCACCCCAGTCAGACTCCCACCCGGCGCCCACATCCTGGGCCTCACAGGGACCCGGGGAGTCTGCAGAGCTTTTGCTAAAACCACTTGTACGTCTGTGCCTTCCTGGATGCTGACCAGTTGATGAACTCGCCCCTCCAAGGATGAACGCGAGCTCTAGGTCTTCCTCTTGTTGCCAGGGAAACTGAGTCCAGCCTCTGCCAGCAGGTCCTTCCCTCCCTTCCTCATCCCTCCCCTCCCCTCTCCTCCCTACCTCTCCCCTCCCCACCCCGCCCCTTCCCTCCCCTCTCTTTCCTACCCCTTCCCACCCTTTCCCATCCCTACCCCTCCCCTCCCCACCCCTTCCCTCCCCACCCCTCTCTTCCCCACTCCTCCCCTCCCTTCCTATCCCTTCTCCTCCCCTCCCTTCCCCTCCCCTCCCTTCCTTGCCCTCCCCTCCCCTTCCTTCTCTTTCCTTCCCTGATGTTGAGCAAGTAACTCACCCTCTCTCCCTTGCCAGCTTCGGTTTCTTATCTTTAAATTGGGGATAGAGTTATGATGGTGGTTAAATCAGCATTACAGCTGACAAGAAACTTCAGCCAGCGCCTTTCGCCAGTGCTCATTTACTGCTGTTACTAGGATGCCTCATCCCCACTCCGGTTTCCATGAGGGGAGATGATTGCTACACCCTCCTGGCCTCTTCACAACCCGGGGTCGTTCCCTCCTGGACTGATTATCTGAGGAGAATGAACTGGCCCCTTTTCCCCGGGGAAGGAGCCTGCCTGAGGCCTTACCTCAACAGGCATCTAATCGGAGGGTTTGGTTCGCTGTCTGCTGTTCTCACTCTGAGCCTCGCTCTCCATAATTACTACCAAATGGGATATTGTAGCACTTCATCTTCTGATTCTGTTTCTCAATTCATCTAGAAATTGAGCCAGGAAAGAGGTATGCTATGAAACTTGTCCCTATAATATTCTGGAATTAGCGTGGTGTGCTCTCCCCATCCCCCAATTATCATCGAGTCAGGATTTTAGAGTTGAAAGGAGACCTTTGAAATGACTGAAATTTATGTCTCCATCTCATCGTTGAGCCTGGCACAGGCGGTCACTCAGCCCTTCCCTGCGTCCTCCCGGTTACGAGCAGGCTGCTTTCTCGATGGGCGGCCCAGGGGTCTGCCTGGGGATGCCCTCCATGGAGCTGGCATTACCCAAGGGGGTGTGGTTCTGCAGTGCTGGGCCCTCAGGCCTCCATGTGCTCCTGTAGAAAATTCGCAGGTTAGGGTCTCTGGGAGAAAGTGTTGGCCTGAAGCCTGAGGGGGAGAGTGAGTGTTCTACGTGGTTTTGGCATCAAATCCTGAGAAATTTCCCGCCACCCTGGTGTGCTGCTGCGCTGAGTAAACCCTAGGTGTGCCCATCTTAAAGGAGGTGGGAGAAGGAGCCCCAAAGCCCTTTGTTCACAGTAAGCATCCTTGTGATTCCATTTATCCTCACTTGGAGAATTTTAAATTATTTCTACAAAAAACTAGTTCTTTAAAGAGCGTTAAAGAGCTGGGCCTGGCCGCTCCTGGTGGGCGCTGTGAAGTGTGGCTCCCAGGAGGTCTCCTCCTGAATGCTGACTGTTGGCATCTCATGAAACTGCCAGTGAAATCCTACTCCCCGAGAGGCGAACTGAGAGCTCCCCTCACATAAACTCCCCAGACACACCGCCCAGCGGGGCAGACTGATCGGCCTTATTGACACATAATCTGCACCCTCTGAAACTGGCCTTTCTGAAGTGTTCAATCCAGTGGTTGTATTATATTCATAGATTTGGGAAACCATCACCACCCGCAGTTCTGGAAAGCTCTCATGGCTCAGAGGAGAACTGCCATCCCCATTAGCATTCCGCCTCATGTCCCCTGCCCAACCCCACCCGTGGGAACCACTAGGGCTTCCTATCTATTGCCGATTCTGGACATTTCACTTAGTGCAGGTGTCCAAGGGTTATCACGCTGGAGCACATAGCAGTCCTTCATTCCTTTCATGGCTGAGCAATAATGTTCTATTGAACTGGCCTGCCACGTTTTGTTTATCCATCCCTCAGTTTATAGACACTCAGGTGGTTCCACTTTTTGGGTATTACCAATAATGTCTCTATAACTACTCGTCTACAAATGTTTGTGTGGTGGGCAAAAGGAGGTTGACAGCCATTGGTATGGATAAAGGCCGGCCGGTTATGATCATTACAACAGCATTATTAGCTCTGTGTTCTGTGCACTCTCCGCTGTAAACCTGCTTTTATTATCCATCCCTGAGTTAGTAGAATTACTAGATCACAGCCCCTTAAAACCCTTCAAAATTGCTTTTTTGTTGTTGTTGTTGTTGTTGTTGTTGGCTATTCTTGGGCCCCTGTTTACTTCCTCTGTGCCGAATGCTGTCTGTGACTTGATGTAAAATTAGCACATCTGGGAGCCAGTTTAACGTTCTTTAAAGAACTAGTTATATGTAGAAATAATTAAAAATTCTCCAAGTGAGGATAAACGGAATCACAAGGATGCTTACTGTTGTCTCCAGGAGAGTACATTTGCCTTGATTCTCTTCTTTCCAAGCTTCTGTTTGAAGATTTACAAAGATTTCCTTTCTTTTGCAGAATCGCAATGAAATAAAGAATGGCACTATCCTTCGATTAACCACGTCTCCGGTGAGTAGGTGTTCGTTTGTAGCTTTCCAGCAGACGCTTCCTCTCCTGTTCCTTCATGTGATTGTGAACATTCACTTTTGAAGATGTCATTAGTGCAAAGCAGAAGGTTCTGGAACATCCTCACACGCAGATTTTGGATAATCAGGATTGTTCTCCCTCTCCTTGTATTTCCCACTACAGACAGGCAAGCCTCCTTCCAGTCAAGTACAGGCACATACATTGACTTTACGTTTGAGTTTGTGAGCCATCTTCACAGTCCTCACCTTACGGATGAGATGACTCAGCTGTACGGACTGGTTTTTATCTACCTGCTCACACACCCACCAACGCCATCGGAGCAAATTCAGACACCAGACAAAGCAAACGAGACCAAAGACAGCCTGCTATTCCCCTTAAAGTCAGAGGGTGTGCACGTGTACTTGTGCGTGTGCGTGTGTGTGCATGGATGTGTATGAGAGAGTTTAAGCATTTTCTAGTCTGGTCCGTTATTACAATAGTTCATAGAAATGAAGTGTAAGAAGTATTTGCACTCCTGCCATTGCATTGACAGCTGACTCTAGATAAAACACCTTTACAGTCCTCCAAATAAAAGCTGCCAAACCAAATGCTGTGAAATATTTGGGCATTGCTTATCTTCATCTTTCTCACTTCCTTGTAGATACTTTAGGTAGTACCATTAGCATATTTGAACTATCTCCGCTCACAGTGCATTTTTATTGCTTTCCCAAAAAAACTAATCTGCAGAAAATACACCAACTGTTACTATTTCCACTCGGCATCTGCGATGAAAACTGTGTCTAACTCACATTTCCAGTTTCTCCTGCAGCCATGTGGTGGCTAAAAATAAATGTGAAAACTGGGAAAGGCATCTGGCTGAAATTAAATTGCGGGGACTGGAACTACCACAGATTTTTCTTGTTGAAAATTATATTAGAGAGGCTTAAAATCCCCCTAAACATTCTGCCCAATCACATCTTGATTCTACACCCAGTGATGAGCTCAACAGTGCGCGTGGCCAGAGTTGGCTGGCCTGGCTCTCGAAGCCTTCTTTTCCACTTCACAGTAATTATAATTTAGACTCATTTTTCAGCGGCTGCATGATGAGCTGAGACATTTTTTTGCCTGATGTGGCATTGATCTTCTTACTTTAGTCAGCAAGAATTAATGCTAATTTGACCTTTAGAGACCACAGTTTCCCTTGGTTTTTGTCGTTTCTGTTTATCCTGCTAAAGCTGCTCATTTTCTTGCTGGGCACAAAGAGTACATCTTGCTTGTTATTTCATCTTAGAATTAGAAAGGCTCCGTTTCTTTATGTTTATTTATTAAATCTAGGCCTCCTCCAGGCCAGAGAAGCAGGCAGTTTCCTTTTTTATCGCCATGCGCTCATGAACAAATTTCCACAGGCTAAGCCAGTGCTGGGAGGAGGCGAGGTGCTGGGCAGAGAGGGATGGCTCAGCGTGCCGAGCGTGAGCGTGCAGACTCTGTGGCAGGCCTGGCCCTGGCGGTACCGCGGGGCTCCTGCCGGGCAGTGGCCCTCGCAGTCCCAGCGTGGCAAGGGGATGGGAAGCGCATGCCCAAGGCGGTGTCATACCCTGGAGTCCACCTGCGAAGGACGGGCTCGCACTTTCTAAAGGGCAGTGTTCCCCACACAGCAGTCATGGAGGAGCGTTACAAATGCTGCTGTCACCTGGCAGGGGTGGCCCCGTGTTTGAGTGTCGAACTGTGAACCAGGAGGTCATGGTTCGATTCCAGGTCAGGGCACATATCCGGGTGGTAGGCTCAACCCCCAGCAGGGGGCGTGCAGGAGGCAGCCGGTCCATGATTGTCTTTCATCAGTTGGTATTTCTCTCTCAGCCTCTCCCTTTCTCTCATAAATTAATAAAATCCATATTTTTTAAATGCCAGTATCTGGCCTTCTAATGAGAAGCTGAATTACGATATGTAGGAGTGAGGTCCAGGAATCTGCTTTTTAAGAGAGCACTTTAATGGCTCAGCTGTACCCACAGTGTCTAGAATTGGGAATTGCTGTATAAGAAGAGATAGTTTGGATTTGTAAAATTCACTTGTTGCTGGCAGATTTTTTATTATCTTGAGTTTAAAGGGAAAATATGGCTCAGCATATGCTAACCCTTTCACTTTTTACATGTGTACTAAAAATAGGTTAAAAATAACTGTCTCCATCACATTTGCTAGGAAGTGTGAGAGAGTGTCATAAAGAAACCAGCAGTTGGTGTTACACCAGCTTTTCCAGTCCTTTCATCTGCCTTGGCTCTCTGTAGCCCGACAAGGACATGCACACGCACATGCATACACACATGTACAACTCTACTGGGTTTTACAAAACTCTATCAGAGGTGCTGTTGTTGTTGGTTTTGGCCAATGCGTTGTTTTCTGTATTCCTTTACCATAGAACAACCCTTTCTGGGTTGTTTCTAGCAAAAAATAGGGTATTCATAAGAGAAGATCTGTAAAAACAACCTGCCCTATCTAAATAAAAAAGAGCTAATGTGCAAATGGTCTTGACACCCTCACACGTAACAACTGATCAGCAGGAGGCTGTGTGCGCAGCAGGCGCAGGTGGGCGGGGACTTGCAGGATCAGGGACTTGAGTGAGCCTCGCATCCCCACCCCCGGCACCAGGCCCAGGGACGTGAGGCTTGTGGAGACCTACCTCTGGGCCATGGATTGCGAGTCTCCCGCACGGTGACAGGGCACTGACCAGGCTGAGGGACCCCCCACCCAAGTGCATGAATTTTGTGCCTCCAGTTACTCTAATAAAAGCCTTTACACCTAGCTGGTGGTCCTCCTCTACATTGCACACTTCATTCCTTATTTTATTTTTTCTTAATCGTCACCCAAGGATATTTTCCCATTGATTTTATTTTTTTTTTTTTATATTTTATTGATTTTGTACAGAGAGAAAGGGAGAGAGATAGAGAGTTAGAAACATCGATGAGAAGGAGTCATTGATCAGCTGCCTCTTGCACACCCTCTACTGGGGATGTGCCCGCAACCAAGGTACGTGCCCTTGACCAGAATCGAACCCGGGACCCTTCAGTCCCCAAGCCGACGCTCTATCCATTGAGCCAAACCGGTCTCGGCAATATTTTCCCATTGATTTTAGAGAGAATGGAAGAGAGAGGGAAAGACAGAGAGAAATATCGATGTGAGAGAAACACATTGATTGGTTGCCTCCTGCACAAGCCCTAACCAGGGCCCAGGGCCAGGGAGGAACCTGCAACTGTGATGCATACCCTTGACCCGGAATCGAACCCAGGACCCTGGTCTACAGGCTAATGTTTTATCCACTGCACACATTATATAATACCACCTCCATGTATACCTATCTTCTTTCATGTATATCTACATCTATATATTTATCTCTATGCCATCTTAAACACTCAGGTGTCATAACTTCGCCCCTCTCCCCAGTGCCATGGAAATATAACCATGGACATGCCCAGGAAATGGGTGCAGGTGGGTGTGTTTGAGCAGTCAGGGTCTGAGGCATTTCCTTCTGCCTGCCTCCGGAATGGCAGCGTGCACGTGGAACCTGTCACGTGTTGCTGGAAGCAGCGTATAAATATGCATTTGGCCACTGTTCTGTTTGAGGAAGCTTGGGGTTGCCAGGCCCTTGTTTTTACTTTTCTGAATTGGGTTTTAAAAGTCCCCACAGTGACTCTCTCTGTGTCTTGCAGTGAGAAAGGCCGCTCTCAGTGCAGCACAAGCCCCAGGAGCCGCAAAGAAAAGATTGACACATTTGACAGCGACAAAACAAAAGCCACACAAACTTGACATTTGGAAAGAATTCCAGAAACAAATTCAATACTGGCGCGTTAGGAAAAACTGTTGGCACTATGTATGACAGATAGCGTGCTAATTCCTCAAGTTCCAGGAAATTATAAATAATGCCCCAAAACAGATGGCCTAAATCTATAAGCAAAAATGATCTCTATTTTTATATGTTTGTCTCTATCCATGCTTGTTGATCTGTATGTTTGTGTATCTGCTTACAGATACACAAACATACAGAGCCAGGATAAATGTAAATATGAATGTGGAGACATACATAGAGCTATAGCTATAGATATATAGGTATAGGCATAGAGATAACCATATAGATAGAGATATACATGGAAGAAGAAACTCAATCTCTCTCTCAAAATAGATGAAAACCCACCCTCCTCAGTAGTCAAGGTGTGAGGCCAGCTGCTGTGGTGCTGTGAGTATACGTTGGAACAGCCTCCCCTGGCCAGGCCGCTCAGTGGTTAGAGCATCGTCCTAGCATGGGGCGTCAAGGTTGTGGACTCGATCTCCAGAAGGGCACATATAAGAATCAACCAGCGAATGAATAAATAAGCCAAACAGCAAATTGAAGTTTCTCTCCCTCCTCCCCCCTTTTGCTAATCCATCAGTAGAAAATATTAAATTGGAACAGCCACTTTGGAAGGCAACTTAGTGGTGTCCACCGGAGTCTAAAATATATGCGTCTTTTGTCCTGACAGTTTTATTGCTGGGAACTTATCCAATAGGTAGACTCATAAGGACGCGCACACATGCACGCACGCACGCATGCATGCACGCACACCCATACAGAGCTGTGTGTATCGTTGTTTTTAATAATCAAGAGCTGGAGAGCTGGTAACTGCCGACCAGCCAGGCCTAGTTCCTACCCATGTGATAGGACAGTGCAGCGGTTAGCAGGACCATGGCGTGTGCCGGCTGGAGACGGTCTGGAATCAGGGTCAGGGCAGAGGCAGGCTGCGGGCCCTCGGCGGGGAGCGGCCCCAGAGGAGTCTGTGGACAGGAGGCATATGTGTGCTGATGACGGACGAAATCACTCTCAAGACCTCACTGCAGTGGTTAGCGTTGGGTTAACTTTATTTTTGGTGTAAAACGTCTGGCAGGACTTTCGTATTTGTATGCCATGCGCTGGTCTTGTTTGCTGGTCTTGTTTTTAATTAAATGAACAGCTTCACAGTTATCTTAAGGTCACCGCTGCCTATAAGAGGTGAATTGTAATGTTCTATTCTGAAAACATTTTAGCATTCCAAACTTTTCATTAGTTCAGAGCCTTTTTTTGTCCGACCTGGTTTCCTCATGCCCCCTGTTCTGGCCGTGAGGGCAGAGTGAATAAACTGCTCATCTCAGCCTGCTGCTGCTGTGCCAGCTCTGCGCCATCCTCCCTTCTGCTCCTCCATTTGGGGGCTGCTGTGAGGGGCATCCAGGCCAGACTTTGGGGACTGGTTTTGGGGACCAGTCACTCTGGCAGAAAGAAGAATGGTACTATCTCAGTCACGTGGACACAGGTCATCAGACATTCTTCACACACACACACACTAGAGGCCCAGTGCACGACTTTCATGCACTGGGGAAGAGGGGTTCCTCAGCCTGGCTTGCGCCCTCTCACAGTGCAGGACCCTGGGGGATATCCCCCTGTGGGAGCGCCGCTCAGCCAGAAGCTGGGCTCGCTGCTCCTCAATGCTGCCTCAGAGGCGGGAGAGGCTCCTGCCACCGCCACTGCGCTCACCAGCCGTGAACCCGGCTTCTGGCTGAGCAGCCTCCCCCTGTGGGAGTGCCTGACCACCAGGGGGCAGCTCCTGCATTGAGCATATGACCCCTGGTGGTCAGTGAGCATCATAGCGACCGTTTGTTCTACCGTTCGGTCGATTTGCATATTAGGGTTTTATTAGATAGGATGGTCTAACTCTAGGTGAAGCCTCTTGCTTTCCTAATTACTTTGGTATAAAGTCATGCAGTGAGTAGTGAATGTATGGGAAGCGCATGTGGAAGAGTGAAATTTGTAAGCATCCTTGTGTCAGTAACCCAGAAAGGTGGTTGGTGACTGATGATGCTTTTGAACACTGCGCAGACAGGTGTCACTCAGAGCATTGACTGACTGGTAACACACTGTATAGGTTTGTGTGATTGCTTAACCAAGCACCATGCTTTTTGCCATTTAGAGATGAAAAATTTACTTGAAAAATAAACATTTTTGCCTTTTCCCCTTCTTACTACTACACCTGCTCTTTTCCTGGGGAAGCTCTCAGTTTTCCCAGAAATGGAGACGAGGGCCGTTCCCCGGGAGGCAGAGGGCCTGGTCCCCATGGAGAAGTGAGCGGCAAGGGCGGCGGGTGGGGGCTCTGAGGTTGGGAACGGCGCTGGGCGTGGGGGCTGCCCAGCCTTGCCCTGCGGGCCACGTGTCCTTGTTTCCCAAACAAAATGCTCCCGTTTTTGTGCAGTTTCCTCCGTGAACGTCTCCCCTCCGTGTCCCTCAGGCCCAGAACGCCCAGCAGCTGCACGAGCGCATCCAGTCGTCCAGCATGGACTCCAAGCTAGAGGCGCTCAAGGACCTGGCCAGCCTCTCCCGGGACGTCACCTTCGCCCAGGAGTTCATCAACCTGGACGGCATCTTCCTGCTCACGCAGATGGTGGAGAGCGGCACCGAGTAAGCCTCCCACCCGCTGTCCCTCTCTTACGTGGCAGTGTCAGTTTTAAAGACCAGGAATTGACAAGGCTCAGGGAAAGGAAGAAATGGCTTTTCAGTTAGTGTCTGGGGAGCGGGTTTGTGAGTATCAGGAGATTGGCCGCCCTCCAAGGAGCCAGGGGTTGAGCTGAGAGATTAGGCACCGGCCTGCATGCCTGGGGAGGCAGGAGACCACCACAGCCATCTGAGCGGGTGCTGAGCTCCATCATCAAGGAGTTTCATCAGGTCACTTGGAATTTCAAATTTAGGAGGAATAATATTAGATCCTTATCTCAAAGAGCCTTTCCAACACTGAAATAATAATTCTATAGAACATAAAGCCCTCACGTCCTTCGCCTATCCCAGTGGTCGGCAAACTGCGCTCTTTGCACACAATATGATAACAATTGCCTAATCCTCACAGCTTCCAACTATACAGTAACATTTAGTCTGGCCCAGTGGTCGGCAAACTCATTAGTCAATAGGGCAGCAAACCGGCTACTGGCCTAGCCTTCTGAATGCGTTAAAAAACAAGTGAGAATAACTCCTTCCAGTCCCAAAGCCTTAAACCAGGTCAAAAATATCATGGCTGAAGTAAGTTTCCTTCAGTTAACGTTTGATTAATGAGATGCATGACCTTACTTATTTGAAATTAAATGCAGTCAATGCTTATTAAATACTGACTGTATACAAGCGTGGAAACTGGGGAAACTTACAAAGATGTGAGACTTGCCATCAAAAATGTTTGGAGGCAGAAGTCAACTGAGGCATAATTCTCCTGGGCCTTTGAGTCTAGTGGCTGGACAGGCTAGCTGCTTCTGGAACCTTCCAGAGGAGTCAGTGGGCCACGAAGGAGTTTGATTCCATCTCCCGCAAGAAAGGGATGACCATTTGGGCTCAGGAGCTCGCCTCAGGTATAGCGTTGCTTCTCTGGTGGGGGGCGGGTGAGGAGCCAGAGGTGTGGCTCCTGCATGAGTGGGCAGGTCAAGCCCGGGACCATGGGGTGTCAGGGAGGGTCCACAGGACACAGCGCTTCCCGTGTCCATGTGGGTCAGTGCCATAGGCATAGACTGCAAGAGCATATGGGTTAGAGCATGTGAGCATGCTGCGTCCATTCATTACATATTAACATGCCAAACTAATAACGGGCAGGGTTGGGTAGGAATTTTTCCGGAAAGAGTACATATCATTGTGAATTGGGGCTTAAACCTGGGTCCTTTAAACCTTTTCTGGACCAGGCGATTCAAAGAATGAGCTGATGACTGCCTATTGGAGCCGTCCCAGCCCCCTCCCACCCTCTCTTCCTTCCTCTCTTCCTTCCTGTCTCCTCCCTCATGGGCATTATTTAGCCTCTACAGTTGGCACCAGTAAAAGGTTCTGGTTTTGGTTTCTTATTCAGAGAGGATGCTTTATAGTAACAGGAATAGCTCCCATATAAGAATGCTCTGTAGAGCCCGGCTGGCATGGCTCAGTGGTTGTGCATCAACCTATGAACTAGGAGATTAGCGTTCAGGCATGTACCGGAATGCGGGCTCATTCCCCAGTGGGGAGCATGCAGGAGGCAGCTGATCAATGATTCTCTCTCATCACTGATGTTTCTATCTCTTTCCCTCTCCTTTCCTCTAAGAAATCAATAAAAATATAGATTTTTAAAAAAATGCTCTGTAGAGTTTGGAGTTGATGGGGTCTTACCTCATAGGGACAATATCTAAGAGTGAATTGGGGAGGAATTACAAATCTGAGAGGACTGGTGGGAAGGGTCGGCTGTAGGCTGGTCTCATTTATCAGATGGTGCCTGAAGCACTGCTTGTGAAATTTCTGGCAAACATCAGTGTGGAGTGGGCAGGGAGAACCGAGTTGGGGGCATTATCAGAATCTGAAGCCATTGCTTGGAGCTCGAATCAGGAGGGACACTGAGCGAGTTGAGGGATGTAAATGGTCGGGCCAGGAAATTGAGACCGAGGGTTCTGTCTGTGTTGGAATCTCAGGCTGAAACCCAGTGATCAGAGCATCAGCTGGAGGACTAGAGAGTCTCCAGTTCAGTTCTGGTCAAGGGCACGTACCTCAGTTGTAGGCTTGATCCCCAGTTGGGGCATGTGCAGGAGGCAACCAGTCACTGTACCTCTTTCACATCAATGTTTCTCTCTCTGTCTCTCCTCCTTCCTTCCACTCTCCCTGAAAGTCAATGGGGAAAAAAAATATCCTCGGGTGAGGGTTAACAAAAAAATAAATGAATAAAATAAAAAATAAGTTGAAATGTGCCCCCATTGATTAATGTATCAATGTTCCAGCCATGAGTGCATCAAAGGCTAGCTGCCAGAGCCAGGTGTCAGTGACCTGCCACACGCACCCAGGGGTGCAGTGGCTTAAGCTTTCCCATTTCACCTCATCCATGTTAGTACTTGTGAATTTACTGGAGTTGCAATCTTATTTCAGTTAGAATGGCAAATCCACTCAAAGCCGAGGTTCCTGTGACATGCGCCCCGAACAGAGGCTGGGGTGAAGCTGAGTACCGCCCGAAGCCTGCAGCTCTCTATGTTGGCAATGAGGGTTTTAGTGTTTCATTTCTCATCGTGTTATTTTGCTCGGGCTGCCCTCACAGTGCCCCCATCTGGGCGGCTCACACAACGGTCATGCATTTTCTCACAGTTCAGGAGGCTGAAATCCAGTGTCTGTAGGGTTGGTTTTTCCTACAGCCTTTATAGACGACTCCCTGGGTCCTCACCTGGTCTTTCCCCTGTGTGCATGGATCCTGTGTATACCAAATCTCCTCTGGTAAGGACACCAGTCAGTTGGATTAGGACACCCCCTAATGGCTCATTTGAACCCCCAATCACCTCTTTAAAGGCTCTATCTCCAAATGCTGTCCCATCTGAGGCACTGGGGGGCAGGGATTCAAGGTAGGAATTTGGGGGCACACAATTGAACTGTAACACTCAACAATGGAACAGTACCCCATTTTTTTTTAAAAAGAAAAAAGGAGTAGAGACAAGTCCTAGGTATTTGTCTTTCAACATTACTCCCTCTCCATGCCATTGCCTTACTGTGTAACTAATCTTGATCTACGGAGGGGCCCCCAAAAATCACATCCCTCAGATTGAAGACTTGGACATGACAGATGTCAGGATTGATTGGCTGTATGTGAACTATAGGACTTGAATTCCTTATTTATTTATTTATTTTAAAAAATATTTTTATTGATTTCAGAGAGGAAGGCATGAGAGAGAATCATTAATCGACTGCCTCCTGCACACCCCACACTGGGAGACTGAGCCCACAGCCCAGGCATGTGCCCTGACCAGGAATCAAACCATGACCTTCTGGTTCATAGATCGATGCTCAACCACTGAGCCTCACCAGCCAGGCTTCAATTCCTTTTATAAAATAGCATATTATTTTCAACGTATCATTTAACTGCTTGTGATACAGAAGCCACCCCAGTTTGTACGGACAGCCAGGTTCTAGGCAGATAAACGAAAGCCCAGATCCTGGGTGAGCTCTGGCATCTGCCTCCCACACCTTCCCGCCACACTGTCTGCTCTCCTGGGTTGCTTTCCTGCCCTCCCCGCCACCTCACAGAAGTTCAAGGCCATGCTCAGCCCCTGCCTGCCTTCTGCAGGGTCCTGCCACTCACCTAGGCAGCTGCTCAGTGGACCCTCAGGCATACATATATTTTTACACTTCCTGACCTTCTGCTCAGATGAAAAGGAAAAGAAAGGCATTTTTCTTGCAAGGAAACCTGGCTTCTCGATTAAACTCAGAGCAAGGCTTTTCCTAATTAGCAGACACCCTGTGGAGTAGAAACCCCTCAAATCCAGTAGACCCTGCAGGTCCTCGGACCCGATCAGACTTCGCACTGGGGCAGAGGGTCCCAGCAGGCCCTGCGGAAACTGCAGGAAACACCCAGGATGTGTGGCTGGATTCTCCTGCCTCTGAGCTCTGATGAGACGCAGAGGTTCTCACCGCTGTCATTACCCGGGCGGAGCTTGGAAAGGTCACTCTCCGGTGGTACCTGTGTGTGTGTGTGTGTGTGTGTGTGTGTGTGTGTGCGCTACAGGAGCCACAGCGCAGCCTGGGGAAGTGGCATGTGGCCGGAGTGTTGTGTTGAAAACCGGAATTAATTTCCCCTCCTGGGACTTGGAAATCTCATTCCTAGTTTCAGCTTCAAACATAAATGTGGGGGCAAGTTGTGGGGGAACAAGTTGCCCCAAACTGAGTAAGGCATGGTGTCCGGAGGGGACATTCTGGGATGGACAGTGTTAAAAAAAAAAAAAAAAAGATGGGCGTGAGAAGATTTCTCAGGAACCATGTATTTTATTTGACCGGAAAGCAGAGAAATGGGTACCTGCCACTCTGATCCCCCGCGGCAAACACCCTGCTCTGCTCTGCTGGGAGTTCCTGCATGTCTGTGCTGCTCAGAGGGCCGCGCCTGCCCTTCAGCCTTAGACAGAGAGCAGGGCGGCACTTCCAAGAGTGAACGGGCAGCATCTTCATAGTTTCCTTCCCACGTGGCAACTGGACCAGAAAATTCCACCGTTGGATCTGAGTAAGCCTCAGCACCACCCTGAGCAGGGAAGTCCAGAGAGAAAAAGTTAAATTGGGGCACTTACACAAACTCAGTTTCTTAAGTTAGCTTTTTGTCCTTAAAAACAATTGTTATTGTTTAAAAAATAAATATAAATAAACAGAAGCAGGAAAATAGGAATCATGTCTAACCTAGCTATCCTGAGACATGTTTTTGACACTGTGGTGTATATACTTTCTGTAAGTTCTCTCTCACACACGCATGCATGCACACACATACACATACACACACACACACACACACACACACACAGGGTTTACAAAAGTAGAATTATAACCTTCATGCTCTTTGTAGCTTGCTTTTCATACTTGATAGTATTTTCTTGTGACTCAATATTACTCCCCTCATTGTATTTGTTGTCTGATTGTGAATTCACTTTTAAAGCTGTGCTAAAGTT